CCTAAACAAACACACCTCACCCAAACACAATGCCTAGCATAAAAGACCCATTCCTAAACAAACACACCTCACCCAAACACAATGCCTAGCGTAAAAGACCCATTCCTAAACAAACAAATCACTGCCATAATGTGTAATCTGATACATTGCAACAAATAATCTAATTTATTTTATTTTCATTGCAGTAAAAATGTTGGTGTGTTCTTCTGTGGACCTAAAGTGCTATCCAGTACATTACACAAGAAATGCAATGAATATTCCACTATCAAAGCTGATGGTGCACGATTTCATTACAACAAGGAGAACTTTTAACACATGAAATTTTCATAAAGCAGGTTCATGTTATCAGAACTATTTGTGTATTTGTTCAGTCACTTAGCTCATAATACCATAAAAAAAAACTTTCAAAATTCAACCACCAATTTTTTCAATTTATTGGTTGTGCAGATTTTATTTCAGACTCTGATTTAGGCTATTATTAATGAAACAAAAACTATTTAACTCAAGGTACATGGTATTATGAACACAGGGATTCAAAACATCTGGTAAATGATCATCTACTGCTATAACCATACATATAAAATAAACATTGCATATTTTTCAGTCATGGGTTGATACAAAAAATGTTATTTCTTTGGTTTGCTATAAAATATATGTAAACTTAAAGTTTGTATTATTCATGAATAATTGTTTTAGAACACTTATTAGTGTATTTTGATTTGATATGTCAAGAATGTCATCAGAATACAGAGTGGTACACCTGACAGTTTTTGAATATTTGTGACTGCGTAATACATTGGAGAAGTGAAATCATGATCTGTTGTCATTGACTTAATTTATGAGGCGATTAGAGTAAAACAAGTTGTGAAATATGTATTTAGCAGATGAATTGTATTTAATTCATTCACTCAATTTTTTTTTGTCATTGACTTTATTTTAAGAAAGTCATCACTCAACTGATTTTAAGAGTTTTTATGGTAATCATGAGAAAACAGTTTGTATATAGATTGCACAACAGGCTAAACATACACCAAATACAAAAATGTTTTATAGTCAACATATTTATTTAAAACTTCAGGAATGTAATGAATGGAAAATTTCATTTTTGGATACAATATTATCAATGAAAGAAAAAGAAAATTCTTATGTCATTGGACAAATTTTCAAGAAATAAGTCTGAATATTGATCGCTTTTCTTTGTTTGAAAACTAACTCTTCATATCTATAAATTATGCTCTTTGAATTTGGTGGAAAAGTCATAAAATACGAGAATAGGTAACTACCCACATTTTAGGACATTTATACATGTATATATCTAGTCACTATTTAGTCTTTAAAATATGGTATTATCTTAAATAATAAGAATTATCTAAACTTATATACAGATTCACGCCAGCAAATGGTGTTAATGTAACTATAATGAAAAAATAAACCTTAAGCTAATTCCATTTTTAGAGAATTCATTTTAAACAATTTTTATTTGTATAAATTTCAGAAATGTCATTGTAACATAATTTTATGTAATCATGACTTTATAGATGGTGTACCTATCAAGTGTAAAATACTATCATGTTGGTTTTTATATCTTGATTGATGAACTCAGGTTTGTTCAGGTTTCACCCTGGAACTATTTATAAAGTTGTGTTGCAATCTTGGGTTATTATGTGAAATATTTGATGTTGTAAAAATAAATTTGTATCTCAATTTTGTTATTTTAATTTGTTTCATCTACTTTTTTTTGCTATTTAGAGTTTTCAAGAATTAGTATCTTATTTATTAGTATATTATTATTTATACATATACCGGTATATCACGGTCCCGGTTCGTTATATATAAAGTGCATGCTCTAATAATAGTAGATAATGTATAGAATACTATTTTTTATAATGAGAAATAAATACTTTCATACTCTAGAGATAAAATAATTTTATATTCCGGATTTTATTTGTCAACCAACAAATCCCAAGAAAAAGAACTCACTGACAAAATTTTGCAGATGTCTGTCATGCAGAGAGTGTTTGCAGTGTATAATGCTATGGCGGACAAGAGTGCAACAATAAGTCAAGAGTCCCCATAAAAAAAGTGCGGGTTTATTTTTTTTCACTTATTTTGCGGGTATGATTTGTGACTGGTCTATACTCAAAATAATTAGGAAATGCCAGACTAAGCAAAAAATCACCAGCAACGTATACAGAAGTAATAAACACATCGAACAGTTTTATTGCACAATTGCAGTATATATCCACTTATATGGCGGAGAACTTTATACAAAAGTAAAACACAACAACGCGCAAATAGTTACGCGCCCTCTTTATAATCTGGGTAGGATACTGAACCCTTGGTGGGAATACCCCTGATTGGTTGAACGCTAAAATCGTAGATGCTACGTGGTGTTTTCTATCACGTTCGTTCTATAATTTGTTACACTGGAAAACTTGTTATGTCATGTCAACAACGTGTCTCTTTATAGCCATAGTTTTAGAGCAAAGAATATGAGTATATTATGTTCATTAATATATATATTAATTATCAAACACAGCATTTAGAAAAATAAGTAAATACGATAATGAATGTTTCGAATAATAACGATCAAAACACGACATATTTCGCTACTGCTCAGCGCTATCTGTTGATGAACAATTGATGAAACTTACAAAATGTGGGAATATAAGGATATAAGGGAAAAAATCGCCCCAATTTGGAAAAATGTAAGACTGTTGATACCGGGTACAACGACTGCATATTTATTTGAAATCTTTAGCTGCAAATTCTTGATTTGTAATCTGGAAAATAAACCATTTGGGATATAACTAAGTAAAACAAATGCAAATATCCGCACAGCAGTTGAGAAACAAATACTCAAACAAACTAACAACCCGGAAGTAAACAATGATCTGTACATCTGCACAAGTTTATTGTCTATCCTATAACTATAAATATTTGTAAAACATTGGTATGGGGGACTGGGTTGTGAATGAAGGACCAAAATGGCTTATATTGGTAAGTAAGTCGGTTGATTAGCTCTCAGCCCAGGCCTAGCGAATGATAGTGTTGAGTGGACGCGTGTTAATAATAGTGCACGCAGTACTCGGTCGGTCGGCCGTGTTTGCACGTGTATCGATTATCAAGAAAAATTGTCCATT